ATGAGTGAGGTTGTGTCTTGATGCTTGTTGTACCGTATGTTGCTTGCTGTTTGTCGTCTGGTTGCCATTTGAGCTGTGGCCTAAACCCTTTGAACCTTTTGTTCTTATTTGTTGTGCTATCGCGGATGCCAGTCGCAATACTGATGCGTCCAAGGAATAGCTGACGCGGATGCATCTTTTTCAAACTCTACTGATGCGAACTATCGCAGCTTGATTTCAGGCTACTAGACCTCATGTTACTGACGCGGCCACAATGGGAACATTTTTTGGAAGGTGCAAAGCTAAGCAATCTGCTGTCGCGAATACGATCGCCGTGGGAATGTTCATGTTTTACTGACGCGAACTATCGCGCACACCATAATAACTGATGCGAACAATCATTACATTACTTTCATGCTAATAAAAAAGAACCACATGGGGGGTTTATGGGGGTTTTGGCCGCCGCTCAATTACTGACAACTGCAAGATAGCCAGATGAACTTACTTCAGATTTGTGGCCTCCGAAAGCAAGTGCCCAGTCAGAGCGTGCGCAACGCCCAGTGACCACCTTTGCTTTCTGGGCTCAATCTCTGCAAAGAGTGAGAGGCACAAGCTCGGAGCTAGTGAACGCGTGCTCGGCGAGTACAAATGCACATGCTCCGGCTTGCAGCGTTGTGCTTCTAAAGGCTCCATGGCAGCAAGGCAGATTCTCAGAGCGTGGCCAGAAGGAATCCTCGGCGAATGAGACGAGGCGATCGATTTCCAGCAACTGCCAACAGGAGGCTTGCAGCACGGGGTACATGACAGCGCATGAAGATTCCGAAGCGCCAGATGTCCTCGTTCTTACGACTTCCCAAGCCTCATCTGGACCCCCTCCGTGTCACATCCGGACCGCTTGCTGAAGCTGTTTCAGATTAAGGTTGCGTTACTGTTGCCTTGCACACTTTTTGACCATGCCATGGTGTGTCTCATGTCAAACCCACCTGGCCTGCGGAGCAACCACCAGAGTTGTCCACCAGACCTGATACACGCATGCGCTGGCTCTGGCTCTAGCATGGGACCTTCTCGAGCCTACATGATACCTTGATCCACCATACAATGCAACACACATTGGGCTGACTTAGAACTGCGAAGGCTCGACAAATTGGCAGCAGTAGTACTACGTAGTAGTAGTTGTGAGCAAAAATTATGAGCACTATGCCTGGTCATCGTCGGCGTCGGCGTCGACGTCAGTAATAGTCCAAGTAGCAGTAGCCGAAGCAGAAGCAGAAGCACTACAAGCGGGAGGAGAAGCAGCAGTCGCTGTCGTCGCACGACCATTGATTCGCGTCTGCGCACGCATCAACGTATCTGCTGCGCCAACTTTGAAAAGGATGCTGGCTTCGGATCACAACCTTTGCGTTCAGGAAGCTGGAAGCATTTGCAATTGCTGAGACCCCAGCGAAGCTGCTGCTTTCCAAGCCGTCCGGGTCCGTCTCCTGTGGCAGAGCTGCGCAAGACTCCACTCAGAAAAGGGCTCTGGAATGTTGGGCCTTCGAGTCTTAGGATCTGATGGGTTCACTTCCTGCTTGAAGGCTTGGGGAAAAGGGAATTCACTGAGCACCAAAGTGGTACTGCGAGAAAGCTACTGCTCAGGCCATTGTTGCACTTCAGGATGCTATGCCGGGACGCAGATCATCAAGTTTGGTGTTGATGGCAACATCCGTGCTGCGAGCTCCATGGCTCAACCAGTCTCATTCAGGGAGTCCATAGGCACTAAGGCGAAGGCATGAATTCTCATTACGTCCTTTCATCAACATGGGGACCCCCACGAACTCCTCGGTGAGGCGCCAACTTGGAGCTTCCCATGACCCGACCAATGCCTTCCGAGAGCCGGAAGCAGCTGTCACTGCTAGAGCTCTTGGAGTTATGACGATATGATTTTCACAATATGCTTGATAAGTCTAGCTGGGGCCGGATATCTGTCATGGCTGCGCAACCAAAGCCTTGAGGGCTCTGGCAGGGCCTGCAGGCCCGGTCTGAGAGTGGGCTGGTGAGCCTCTTCAGCTAAAGCCGATGTACAAAGCTGGCTCGCAGCAATGTTGGAACATTTATCAACATTTCCACTCCTTTCTTGCCCGTCATTCGCATCTTATCCTTCACACCTTCCGCCTGGCTGTAAACCCATACTGCACTCGGCCAAATAGTTTGGTGGTTGTTCTGCTCTGCCCATCCCCCTGGCGAATTCGCCCTTCGTTACGGTGGCGTAAGGATACACACCTTGGTCTCGATAAGCCGCCAAGCCATCTGTCCATGACATTTTGAATCTTTTGCTTCGAGCCTGCAGCACGATGGTCGTCCTGGGCGCCAACATAAGGCCTGTGTCCGCGCATCAGGTAGCGGCGTGCAGGAATAAGCCGATGAGTATCAAGCGGAAGCACAACGACGGATTCTGGATTTGCACATTGAGGATGTAACTTCAGTATCATGCCTCGGTCATCGCTAGAGAAGAGGATGCAGCATGCAGAGGCGGCACTCCATCTCTTAGCTCTTGGATCTGAAGCGAACTTGGCACGAAACGGAGTAGCGCGCAGCGCGCCTGCCAAGTATCGTTCAGCGATACCGTCGCGCTCACGCCAGCGGATAAAGGATCCTGCAGAAATCATCTGTGGGCCTATGGCCTAATCTCCAAGCTGCGCTTGAAGCTGGCACTTGGCATGTCAGTCCAGGACATCGAGCACAGGTCCACTCCGATGTTGATACCTGTAGCCGCAAACAACCATGCTGGCTGAGCAGAGCGGCAGTGAGAGAAACTCGCGAACAGGACGAAATAGATACCACCAAGTTACAGCTACGGCGCTCAGGATCAAGGTGATGGCAATCCATGCCATGGCCCATCTTCGTGGACAGCGAGGCTAATATGTTTTTCCACAAGCTGAACAGAACAAAACTCAGTCCAAGAACACAGACAGCAATGGCAACTCATCGCCCAGCAGAAGGGATACCAGGCTTGGCTACGCCAACGTCGCTAAACTTAGAGGTATTCTTTGCCATGTTATTGCCTGCAGCACGACTGAGGTTGCAACGAAGCCCCACTTGTGCTGCTTGCGTCGGCACGGCCGCGTCTGTCATCATCACTGTTTCAGGTTTCGACAGCACCCACTTGTTGACCGACATTCACGACTGACTGTGCTGGTCTGGACCATGTAAACAGCATTTGGCTTGAACCAGACAGTACCCGACGCCACCTGCGGGCAGCAGCAGAACTCGGAGAAGACGTTACTGGTGAACGCTCCCCAGCTGGCGCATGGGTAGGCTCCAACCGCCTCATCTACAGTTGCGCCAAGCTTGGAACGACACTGAATGCTTGATACAGCTTAATCTCAGGCCTTTGAACATATCCAATAAGTACAGCTGGACCTTGTACAGATACAGTGGACGCGTCCCCTGTGGATTTTGGCGCCAGAGCGTTGCAAACCTACCTGGATGCTGCTTGCTCCCGGCAGACGTATCGATGGTTGTCACAAGGGAGGCACAACTGCGGGCAAACAAGCGCATAGAAAGACTGACGCTCTTACTGCTGTGAAGGTGCCTCACACCGCTGCCAAGCTGGACGGACGAAAGTGGCTGGTTTGCTGTCCTCATCTTCTGCTTATGTGCTGGGGGTCAGGGGCGCTGGGACAAGTCAACAGTGAAAGATCCACGAGCAAATGCTTGTAGAATTGCAAGGAGCTACCATGATTCCATCGTAAGTGGATGGGGTAGAGATGGGTAGAGGGTTGGGCAGAGATGCACTTCAGGGGAGCCAGAAAAAGCTCTAAAGCTCCTGTGACCGGCATGGCGCCATGGCGCGGACGACGTCTGAATGGGAAATCAAGGCTTCCACTCAACCCATGCTGTCGTAGCCATCATGCTGCTGTGCTTGTGTCTCAGCGTCATCCTCTGCGAAACCTGATCTCTACGACAAAAGCCTACGCAAGCGCGCTATTACGTCCAATGTGGAAACCAGTTCAACGTTGAAACCAGCGACACTCCTGCTGTACGTAAGAAACCATTCCATGCAAACTTATGCTGACAAGCGAGTCCTCATTGTCGCGGGCGGCGAAATCCGTGCCTGCCCGTGGCAGAAATATGACAGAGCTCTCAACACAACAGGAGATTGCCATTGTGGAAGCATCTAAACCTAGGTCGCCAAGACATATAGATCTAGCAAATTTGGACAGGTGAAGCCAACGTTCGACTGCTTCTGTCACGTCTTAGCTCAGCACCAACCCTGCAGCCTTGGATCACGTTTCACTTCGACTGGCCCATAAACAGCAAGATGCCTGAGCAGGGTGAAGGCAGCCCCAGGAGGATGGCAAGCCTCAGGAAGCTCAAAGAAGTTGGGCGCTCTGTAATGTTCTGTGTAACGCTCTGTTCTGCAAATTGAAGTCCATGGCCAGGCCGTGGACTGGTCACACTGTCTAAAGCTCATACCGCTTTGCAAGGGTGCAATGTAAGAATGTAAGGCAAGTAGCAAAGAGAAGAGTGCCATGAACATCCAAGACCCATGGCACAAGAGGTGTAAGGGGTTGGGACTCGAAAGCTAAGTTGGTTTAATGCATTTGTGAAGATGCACAGGCTCCCTCCTTGCAAGCAGAAGACATAGAAGACTTCTGGTTGTTAGGTGTGGCCCGCCCTCCTGCTTTGCCAAAAAGATCCGTGTAATGGTTGATTGCAGCTTGCCGTGTCAAAGAATTGTGCACCCAAGCTAGCTAGCTGCTGCTGATGTACTGGCCGAGTTGCGACAGCATGTATGGAACAACGTGTCCAAACTGTGTCAAACTTTTCAAGCGCTGTTGCCAGCCAAAAGCTTCGGTCGGTGCGATCGGTTAGAATCTGTTGCTTGCCATATGCGCATTTCCTGTACTGGGCGAAGTGTGCATTTACAACATTGCTTGTCTCCTATTCAACAACAGTTCAAGATCTTGAAAACGCTGGGGGCTGGCCCAAGCATCATAAGACCCTCATCTGATATCTGAGATGCTACACAAAGCCAATGCCTTCTCCTCCTTTGCCGCCTTGTTCTTCTCCTGCAGCTTGGCATCTCTTTCGCGACGTCCTGCCAGCCTTGGTATTGAAATTGATGTCGACACAAGGGCGCAAGGTAAGAGTTGTTGATGCCCCGCGGTGCATTTCAGGAAGGTTCGACGGCAATAGCTTCTGCGAACGGAGCTGTTCAGGTACTGTTGTGGGAAACAACCTCACTCGTTGCATGTGGATTTGGTGTTTTCAGGCACGGTTGCAAAAGGTGCTTTTGCCGCCACACGTCCTTGAGCAACACCTTTTCCTCGCATCGGGCAGTGTAGCAGTCGCAAAGAGTGGACAAGGCTTCTAGCCCAGATCGGTGTCCTGCAGGCCTACCCCGCACACACATTTCAAAGCTAAATTTGCACATCTCTGTCCGTGTCCCATGACTAACATCCCACAGTATGGCAAAGCACAAAAGCAAGATCACCACATCCTCTCACGAGTATGTTTGGCCATCCGACAAATTTGCCTAGCCCCGCCGCGAGTGAAAGAGATATGCTGATATCTCCGCAATTTCAGCCAAAGTGACTCATCTTAGGACAAGTTGCCTTTTAGCCCTTGTAAAGCTTGTAATTCCACAATGCCCTCGCCTAGACACACCTTCCCGGACTCAACACGCCCTGGTCGTGCTTAAAGTGTGATTTTATAACTGCACGGCAGCTCAGCAAGAGCGACCACGTGCGACCACCCTTCACATGCCTGGACTGTTTGATCGAACTTCGTAAACTAAATCCATGCTACTTTCCTGCCACCGCGTTGCACGTGTCTATTTGTAGTTGGCTGCCCTCATCATGATCTGGGCGCTCGCTCCGGGCATCGCTTTAGGGATGCGCAGGCCCCACTGAGACCTTGTTTGAGTGGTGCCGAAAATGGTGTTGAACGCGAGTTGAGCGTGAAACCAGTTGTGGAGATGGCGGCTGGTCGTTATGAGCTTTATGGCGATGACGGTGCTGAAGGCCATCAATATCGGCAGTTGCTGGCAAACGCCTTGTGGTCTCGAAACAGGCGGTTTTATGCACACAAGATCGCTGATCGTACTTGCCGCCGGTGCTGTGCAGCGGACGAGTCAACCCGACACTTCTTGTGGGAGTGCGAGGCTAATGCTCATAGACGAGCCCAACTTGAGGTCTCCTTTGAGCAGCTGCCGACATATCTAGTCATTTGCGGCCTTGTGCCCTGTTACCTGCCTAGACATTTGAGTGTTCGGAAGGTCACGAGCGTCCAGAGATATCTCGCTGACACCGTGCGGGATTGGGCTGCGTTCAGGGATGCTGATCCTGGTTAGGCTCTTGGTTTTCAGGGTTGCCTTGGCCTGCTTATGTCTTACTTCTGTCAGGTGAGCGCTGCTGGCTAAGGTGCCTTGGACTAAGGTGCTCCTTCCCCACTCTTCACCTTTCCTTCTACGCGTGTCGCGCGTAGTACAACTATGTCCTCATCTTTTAATCATGGCTGTGCACCCTTTCAAGTATCCCCACAAGAACCTGTACATCAACCCCCTGCTGGGATTCAATATACCAAGATGAGAATCAAAACGCAGGTTTCCTCACAGCAGCCCCAAAAGGGTCCATGCTAGCGTTGACAGTGACAGAGCAGCCTCGCAAGAAACTAAATCCCTTCAAGCAACGACTGGGAACGGGGGAGAACAAGACAGCCACGCACGCCGCACGCGATACCCAAAAAAGAAATCCGCCGAACCCGGCGTGATGGTGCCCTTGCCCCTCCGCTCGTTTTTTTGAGAGGTTACCCATAGGCCCCAAACCCTTCCCAAACCCCCCAAACCCTCGCCATCGATTCAAAACACAGATTTTTTTTGTTTGCCGATCGCCTTCTCCATCCGTGAGCCCCCCCTGCAACCGCCACCCTCCCCCCAAACCTCCCAAACCTCCATTGTCCCTTTCAAGTTCCCTTGCCATGTGTGGGCCCCTCAATTCACACACAGAAAATCGGCAACCTTCCGGACCCCTCATTCCGGCCACCCATGCAATCACCTCCATCCCCCCAAACCCCCCCGGACCCCCCAAACCCGCAATTCGCAGAAGTGGATTTTTCAGGGGTCCTCTAAACAGCATCCCCCCTCCCTATGCACGGGCCCCCCTGTCATCCTCCCCCAAAACCCCCCCAAGCGCCTCGGCCTCCTCGGTAGCATCTCCCATTCACCCCCCATCCGCGGGCCCATGCCCCCAAATATTTGTTTTACCGACTGTTCGGCCCCTCGTTTTTGAGAGGTTGGCATGCTTAGCATCCCCTCTCCAGGGCCGGGCCTATCCCTAGCGTCCCCTCTCCAGGGGCTGACCCCCCAATCCGTCCCCACATTCAACCTTCATCTTTCCGCAATTCTCTCGGTCTTGTTTTTGAGGTTACCTTCCTTTCAGAGCTCCCCGGATCCCCCCCAAACCCACCCGGAGAAAGCGTTGTCTTTTCCGTGCGTTTTTGGCGCCCAAAACCCCCAAGCCATGTCCATTTTTTTACAGAACGATGTGGGCTTTTGAGATGTTGCCATAGGCCTCCTCCCAGCGTTCCTAACATTCCCCCCCCCTCCAGGCCTCCCCCATCCGTGGGCCCTCCATTTACCCCGCCAAGCCTCCCTCAAACACCTCCAAGTTTTTTGTATGGTTCAGAACTGAGGCCATTTATACCCCCCAACCCACCCCTCAGTCCAATTCTCTGCTTGTTTTCCAGCTCCTACTGTGTGAGGACAGCTTCCAAATCATGGTACCATGATTCCGGAAGATTCTTTTCACCTACTTAATAGATAACATAAGATACATGGGTGCCTTGCTACATGTCAGCAATCGCGCCCAAAATAGGTCATTATTATCCACACATGGTACGGGTGGCAGGGTCATTGTACATTGATAATCGATGCATTAGTTGGGGGCCTCCCGTCCCCTACCTCGCAATGACATGAGAATGAATCTGGCTGACAGCGGCTGACACCTCAAGTCCGAGGACCTGCGGAAGTCGTTGCGTCAGCCTTCGCCTCCTGTGTGCAGTGGAGCCTCAGGCTTTGTCGTCGTCTAGCCCTTGCTTGGAAGCTCAGGCTTTGTCGTCTAGCCCTAGCCCGAAGGCTCAGGCCTTGTCGTCAGTCGTCAGAGTCGACAGCCCTCACCCTGCAGTGGGGGGTCAAGATTCGTCCCGTGGTTGTTGCCCCTAAACCTTTCACCTAACCTCCCTAGATCTCCCTAGTGTCACCCTCCAGGCGCGCACGCCCCAACCGTGTTCAGAGGTTGCCCCTACTCCCCCACAGCCTCCCTAGCGTAAGCCCTCACCCATGCGTGTGTGCGGGCTGCGCAGGCGTTTGCCCCTAGGCGCCATTCACCCTCCGCAACCCCAAACCCCTCGACTTGTTAGAGCCGGTTGAGCCGCCGCCCTGACTCCCTAATGGCGGCAGCGGTGCCAGCCCTTGAACAATGCCAATGCATGTAGACATGGATTCCGCACAACATTTATAATTGCAATGCTGGCACAGAAGTCTGTTGAGGTTCCCGCGACATTTCGCCGCTTTCGACCTTGACGGTACCAGCTCCAGAGCGCTGTGAACGTGAGAAAGCTCAGCCCGGTGCCTTGTCTTGAAGCCGCTTTGAACGCGCGGCTTTCCGTGTGCGGCGCACCTGGACTCGGGCTGCACAAAAGAGCGAGTGTTGGAATCAGCTTTCATCTCTGCTCTCAGGATCAATGAGAACAAGGCTTTGTTGGAAGTTCCATCCTTATGGTAGGGGCCGGACAGCTGCCTTCTCATCCGGGGTAAGCTCTGCTTGGTCCTCCACAAAGACACTGGGGCCACGTGCGGGTCTGACGCGCAGAGGGCAGTGCAGGTAGGCCAAAAATCGGAGAAAGGATTGGAACTGTCATAAGCCGTCGGCCCTCCCTTTTGTCTTATGTAGGGAAACGAACGTCTGCCCTCGGTCGTCCTTGACATGTCGCCGTGGCGCTTTTCGCTCCTCTGGCCTCGCTGGTTTGAAAGTGGAGCCAAAAATTGGGCATCCTGGCGGGAACAAATTGGCGATTTCCAGGTTCTGGCAAACTTAAACACCACTTTGGGAAGCTGACGCTTGCAGCGTGGCGTCCGAAACCATCAGGGGGATGGTCTCCTGCCAGCAATGGGACGATTTACAGTGCACAGACTTGAAGCCTGCGCTACAACGGTGAACCACCAAAACTGTTCTTACAGTTCGCCCAGCAACATGTCAATGCATCTGAGAACGGCCTCCATTTTCAGCGAAGGCACCTGCAAGGGCATGAATAACACTCCGCAGCAGCAGGTTGCTAAAATGAAAAAACTGGTGTAATTACACGTAAACATTGTTGAGGCCGGGCTTCAGCCTAGCAGGCTTTAGCCGAATTGGCTGGAAAGTGGCTTGCAACAGCTTGTGCGCGCACAATGAGACCATCGGGGCACGAACACAAAAGAAATGAAGCTCCCATATCTTCCATGACCCTACAAACACCTCCCTTGACAGGAATTCGAAGGAAAACCAGGCCGACCCTGACACTTGTATACGAGAAGTGATGCGGATATCTTCACCTGAATGCATGTAGCTGCGTATGCCACACCATTGGTTTACCAGGCCCAAGAGCGGGATAGCGGCAGTCTCCTAGGATGTCAAGTGTCAAGCCTTGAGACCCTCAGCCGACGTGCCAGCCATGGGAGGCCGGGGCCTTAGATATGAAAACAAAACAGGAACAACAACTGAATGGCGCACACTTGACATCAACTGACCGAGGGAACTTTTGCTGATGACTGAGGTTTAGGCGTGAAGTGGGCATTCGACAGCAGGTCTAGCTTGTACCTGTCTTCTCTTCTAACTGCTACGACGGACTCATGCGCATGCCTGGAGAGATTGCCTACTCCAGGTGGATGGTTTTGGGCAGCTGTGTCCGAACACCAGCGCGAAAACGGAAAATCAGAAGCACCCTAGCAAGGCGATTGAAAATTTGGTGACTGAGAGATCAGTCGCCAAGCAAACAGTTTGTGCGCCGCTAAGAAGACAGGTTTCTTGACGAAAGTATGGGCTGGAACTCGAATTCACTTGTGAAACCATTGAAACCTGTCGTGACTCTTTGGCCGGCTCTCGCCAGCAGCAGCTTTAAATGCACATTCGCACAAGTTCAAAGGCTACAGTACATCTTCATTAACATTGAGAGACCAGCGCTCTCGCTACCACGCAGGCGGGGTTTCACCCCCCTGCCACTTTGTCCGATCGCTCGCCGCGCACACCCCATCTCGCACCCTTCTTGACCGTGCGGGTCGATGGCTTGGCCTGCTGTGGCAGATAACCACTACACCTGCACAAGTGTGGACTAAATTTGCCACCAAATGGAATCCAACCAGGAAAATTGCCCGAAGCCCTTTGCCACTCCTTGCCATGCTCGTGGCTGAAGCAACAAATCTTCTCGCCGCCCCAACTCCATGCCCAACCACTGACAGGGGTCATGCAGCGATTAAATCATAGCCCTACCATCACCTGACCCCGCACTACCCAGCTGTTTAGCCACCCAATAGGTCACCATCACCACCTAGCCATAGTCTCAATAATCTCAACAATGAAATATGAACATTTTGAAGCCTAACCTTAAATCTTCATCGTCAACCCCGAGTTGACCGTTGCCTGGAACGGACCGCACGCGTGTGGCTCCGATTTGCGCCGTTCATGACAAATTGTTTCACGGTCAGTGAACTTGCATCAAACTTTTCCTCAATTAATTCATCCCTTTGGTATCTTTCCGTTTGAGTTGTCCATGCTGTGTCATCTTGACACGTGTTATTCCTCATGTCTTGAGTTTCCTTTTAGTGTTCTGTCGTGAACATCGTTTGAATGGCAGCGATGATCTTGTTCTGTTCGCCCAGGAGTTCGTGCAATCCGCATTCTCTTCGTTGATTAAAGGCAGTCTTATTGCATGAAGTGTTACATGTATTTGTCCAACTAGGCTTCATTCAATACTCCATTGTTGCTGCAGCTGCTTGTCTGTAGATCTTGCCAGGTGGCCAACTCGCCACCCACTCCTTCGCTTCCCACCGGTCCAGGGACAGCCTCGTTTGGGACCAGTGCCCAGCCATCGCCTGGAGGGCCGTGGAAACAAGGAATGCAAGGACACGTCTGCCTGGCAGCATTGCCGTATTGCCGATGCCCATTTCTCTGAACTCCGTCCATCTTTGTCCCATTTAGCCAGGCAGCTGATGTGGCTGGCACTGAGGTCTGCAATCTTGCGGGCGTGGAGATGGTCTCCTGCGTTGTCGTGAAGGAAGTGTACTTCATTGTACTCCTCAAACTTAGGAGCACCCGCAAGAAGCACGTTGCTTCGGAGTCCAGCCCTGCATTTTCTCCATCTCCAGAGCCTTGAGCTCAAGGCTAGCCGGCTAGCCCTCTGCAAACTCTCCTAAGCACGGCATCCTTTGAGCGTCGCTCGCACTGCGGCCCACTGGCTCCAGCAGCTTTCACAGTAGAACTCGGCCTCCTGAAAGCGTGCTAGCTAACACTCGCTAGTCTATTTTGTCTTGATTTCAATGCTTGGCTCGGCATGGGCAGACTTAGCACAGCTCCGCCAAATGCGTTCGATTAAAATGCACTCGAGAGACTAATACGGAAACCAAGCAAAACTGCATCAAACCGTGCAAGGAAACAGAGAGAAGCCACACGAAAAACGGGTCAAACAACAGCAGGAAAATCTAGCTTCTTGGCGTTCCCAGTTTGGGTGTCATTCCTCGAGGCCCGGGCTGGGTTTTCTCACAGAATCTCGTTTTTTTCACGTCATCTTGTACGCCCTTCATGTCCACCGAGGCTAGGCATGATGATTACGATTTTGCGGCCATGTCATCTGGACAATCCCTGACCCGTGCATTCAAAACATCTCCTCCGCGGCCCAGCCGGCATCTACATTGCCGCAATTCGCGCAGAGGCCCAAGCTCTCCTTCTCAAACGATACAGCATCTCGCCACTAATGTTTGGGGAGAGAAGAGCTTCTGCGCACGGCTACTGTCAGTACGCTAGAGTGGGGTTGGGGTGTGTGCGCATCTGTAGCAAGGTTGCTCGGGCCCATGAGGTTGTCTGTACGTCTGACATGCGCCAGAGGATGGCGCTCTGATGTGCTCTCTGCTGACCTCGGGGGGTGGAGGCACCATCGGCGGCTCCGAATATGCACCCAGCGCCAATGCCCCGGCAGGCGCAGAAGATGCGGGGCGCCGGCTGTTGCAGGCCTCGCCGGGTGGCAAATGCGCAGAGCTATTGGGGAAAGCTTCAGAAAATGTGCCATCCAAATCAAGCAAAAGGCCTCACACCTCCGATTTGTGGGCTGGTTGTGCAGCGTGCACGTCGCCTGAGCAGGAAGATGCAGCGATTGAACTCAGGGAGCGCAACAGTTGCAAGCCCGCTGCTACTGCTACTACTGCTGCTGCTGCTGCTGCTGCTGCTGCTGGTGCTGCCGCTGCTGCTACAACATGCATGCACTTCAACTTCAACGCTTCGCGTGACCACACAAAGGGAGTCACTCCGCCACAAATTGATGTATAGGGGCGCATGCCCAGAAGTCGTCGCTCACGACCTCAGCGCCGAGGTCGTCCGCGTGCAGCTTCCTTGCAAGCTCATGAGACAAAGAGCTTTTCAATCCTGCATGCCTTAAGTTAAGCAGTTTCAGCTTTAGCTTCATCTCAGTGTCCAGGGCTCTCGAGCCACTTCGGCAGGAAAGCTTCGCAGGCACTCAATCCACTTCTTCACCTGGTTTGAGGGTGTGCCGATCAAGTCGGCAGCCCCGCGATGTAGGGTTTGGGTGAAGGATGTGAAGGATGTGAAGGATGTTGATTGCCTGGCACGCATGAGGTGGTCCGGAAGAAGCTGTCCTAGGGCCTATGCATGGTCTCAACAATCTGCCCTGCCCCAGCGAATGAATCTTTCACCTATAACCTCATCAATCATTGGTCCTCCCCGCAGGCCCATGTGTACAGATGCAGCCTCTTACCCATAATAAGATTTGCAGAATCAAGCTCTGCCTGCTCCCTTGAGTATCCCCGTGCCGATACTGTCAGCCCGGATCTTGTTAATCAGCCGAAGGACTGGCCGACTCTTCATGATCACTGCTCAAGTATACTACTAGCATACTTGAACACAGTCAAATGCGCTTACATACCCATGCTTGCGGAATGCATTGGCACCCTCACCCTGCCGAGCGGCATATCCCGCAAAGGGGTCGTGGTCCCGGCCCCAGCCCAAAACCTCATTTTTCTGGTGCGTTGTTTCGAGGCCAGGGACTTGTGCAAGCTTCATTTCAGGCTTGAGCAATGAAAAGAAGGCTGTGTTGCTTGACGTTGAGTATAGCTGGTTGTTCAAATGTTAAACTGACCAAGCAGCACAGCTGCACTACAATTCACCAAAGCATGCCTGTCTGACCTCTGAACTCTCATGGTTCAACATGATTGCTGTGACTTACCAGAGTCACTCTACAATGCGACGAGAGGCTTGTGTAGCCATCAGGTATGGAGAGTACCTGACGCAGCTTAACAAAATTCAGCTATGTACATGGAGAGCAAAAGCGCCACTTCAAACTAATCCGCGACATGAATGACAAAGGAGTCAGTTCAGGTGCTATGTGCATTTCAGGTACCTAGTTCATCCCAGACTGAGCATGCGGACAGCCCGATTGGCAGCAAGCGGCGGGGGTCTTGAGAACGGCATGCTGTAGCAACTTTCTCTGAAGTCCAAACCGTCCGAGCAAAGCCCAGCTTGGCAAGAAATGAGATGTCTCGTGCCTCGGCAAGGTGTAGCGCGGCCCACCGCCAGGGCGATCATCTTCACGCGCGGGCAGCTGGGTCAGGATGAAGTAGACCTTGGTCTTTGAGATGAGTGGCAGTTCACTCTCTGTTGTCCAGTTCTTTTGCTAGCACCATCTAAGCTGCTATGGACTCTACATGTCAGGGCACTCTCGCCACACCACATGCAGTCAAGATGCCCAGTTGCCCCAGTTCAGCACGCAGTCATAGTCCTGAGGCGTTCTTGCATGACCAAATGCAACAATGCGACGCTGACCCAGAACTGCTTTACGGAACATGGACCTTGCAGCGCGATAGACCCTTCGTCTGTAGCCAACTTCAAAGCTGAAATGAGCGCATGCCTTTCTCCAATACTCCGGCTTGCTGGCCCGAAGAGCTGGAGAAGCAAGTCTTTGCCACAGAACTCTCTCACAGCAATACAGGCACCACAAATGCAAGAAGCCCTAATAGCCACTAGCACAAAGTCTAGTGTTGACAAATCAGCCGGAATCACACATCACTTTAGAAAATCCCTAGATCAATATGAGAAGCCCTTTGGGCCAGGGCACTAGCAACCGGCTCTCGAACCACTCCGCTGCAAGGCGCCAATCCAGCTGTAAATCGCGGACGAAGAACCTCGGACTTCATACTCGGCAGTTGCTTTTAAGAGGTGAGGAGCTTCAAAACAACGAGCTTGAAACAAATTGCTCGACGAGCCTGGGCGCACGCAAATGGTTTTGGCAGGGTGCAATGTTCAATGACAATGGACAATGAATGAAACATGATTATCAGACATAATGACCAAAAGTGCTTCGCTCCTACTACTCGTGCTGCTCCTGTTACGGCTCCTCTTGCTGCTCCCGGGTGCTGCCGCTCCCGGCTGCTGCTGCCGCTGCTGCCGCTGCTGCTGCTGCTGCTGCTGCTGCTGCTGCTGCCGCGGCGGCCTTTGTTCTGCTCCAGGTACTGCTGCGAAACTTTCCTCCATGACTACGCCCGCTGACTCAACAGCTTCACCGCAATTGCAAGCAAAGATACCAGCCGACTGTCTCC